TCAATGTGAGATAAGATGACACACGAGATGTCAAATTGGAATCCTCAAAAGTTAAGATTAGGTTGGAATTTAAAAGAAGCATATGTTGCTGGAAAAAAACATTGTCACAATTCTATTCGGACGCCTTGGGAATAAGGCCAAAAGAACATTTCTTTACAAGAGTTGTTCAGAGAATAAACAGAATATGCATCAATTGTGTTCACAGGCACATTCATGGGGAACAAAATTGATGCACTGCTCTGATCGTGCATGTATTTGCTGAGAATTCTGAGAACTCAACTTAAAATCTGTCATAAATACTGAATAAACCTGAATTCGTGTGAAAACAAAACGCAGTATATTAAAAGACCACTATTGTGCCATATATTATTCATGGTAACACGCATGATTTAAAGCGTGGTGGTCGTCGCGCAGCGAAAGTTCAAATTTCATGTAAATAAACAATGTATTTTACACGCGCTATATACGTCGCTATGAGTCCCATATTGAACAGGGCGCGGCACGACGACTGTCGCCCTTTATGTTTATGTTTCAACAATACAAATATGTGTGTTTGTTTTCAGCTGTAAGGCTGAGATTGATGGAAAACAAAACACAAGTTTGTCACACATTCAATACAACACATATATGATGGGCCTAATAAAAGTATTGTTTTTGAAGTATTAAATGCTGTCTGAGTATGTAATTTGCAGCACAGTAAAGGATGCTAGCTTCAACTCATCTATCTGTCCCCTATTTGAGCAAATTAGCCCAATGACCTTTAAGTGGAGTCATCACAGGACATAGCTATGAGCCTTTACATTTTTTTTGTATGCGTTATCGTTTAACCAAAAGAGTTGTGTTATTGATTTCCACAACAGAGGGAATGTTATGTCAAACAGCATTCTAAATATAGAAAGACAGCAGCAAATAAAAATTACTGTTAATCTACAGTATTCTAATTATATATATAGACAAATATGAACAAAGAAAACATATGAGACTGCCACACAGTGTAATACATAGATGTCGTTCCCATAATGCAATGAACATAGTTGACAATATTAGAAACCCTAGCTAGCATTGTAGAAAAACAGCAAATTATTTTTTTCCCGTTCTCATTTCCTGAATTAGATTTTTTAATCATGATAATGTTACTGTAAAACTTTCTTTTTCACATTCCTGTATCAAACATGATTCTTATTTATGAACATAGTTATTTTTCTGCAGATTTCTTTACCCATGACCAGTACCCTTAAGCATTATCTCTGTACCCCTAATGGTCACCTCACTACAACATTTCATTTTTTTGAATAATACAATCTTCAAGTTATAACCTGTTGTACTATTCTGACTGAATGACCCTTATTGTGTTAACCAGATGCAAAGGTGAAAATGTGAGGTCAATCACCCTGCCAGGACACGATAAAAACATGACTCATAGATTAGAAACTTCCTCTAACAAATTTAAATCCAAAATATCACAGTGGCTGCTATACACCACATTCCATGACACCAGGAACTACGTTGTAAACAATAAACCTCTGATGTTGCCCTTGGCAATAAACTTCAAATCTCGCATTCTACTGCAAACATGTTCATACTTGTCCTGTATCAATTAATAAATCAAATAGCGAGTGGAATTCTTGACATGTTTTCACCTTATAGTGCCATTCTATGTGTATTTATGCAATATCCTATTGTCAGTGCTGAAGACCAGATATTATTTACATGTAGTTGGCATTTGGTTCAAATTATTTTCACGTATCCTGTGTAGAATGGTATCATGTTTTGGTTTCACACAGGAAAACACATTTCTTAAAATTTCTAAAACAATTTGAAATAACATTCAAATGTCAGAAACTCCAAAAAAGCACACTAAATTTGAAAATTATCGGGTAACTTTCACATTTCTTGTGTTGACACATTTGGTGTCAATACAAAATATACTCACTGGGCTTGTCTCCTATGTTTGATACAAATGCCATTGTGTCTTCCATGATGCAACACCCCAAACACAGTGCAAGTCGCAAGGTATTAAGAAGCTTGCGTTTTGTTGAGGTTTCTCTAAATTTCTTTAATCTGGAAATTCTTTAAAAATTAAATTTAGATTAAATTAGATTCAGAATATAACCCAGTCTGTTCGAATGAAGATATTATGCTTACAATTTGTTCATCAAGGTATGCAAGATGCATAACAATTCACCAACATGTCACCTGAGAATAAAACGTGGTCTGCTTCAGATACACAAGTACGCATTTCACTGATGGCACTTCTGGGAGGGGGCATGATTGGATCTAGTGGAAAAACTGTGCACAATTTGTTTATTTCCATTAGTTTTCAGTTGGATATTTTTTAGAACAACCCCCCCCCCCCCTAATTAAAATTTATTTATTTTTT